CATGTTTCTTTAAGACCTTTTTTCTCAGCTCGTGTGCATCGCTGGGATATTCTATGCGTACTGTTAGAAATATATTTTCCTGTAGATGTACAAAATCCCTTTTTCAATTAAAATAGGCTCAAAAATAAGCGTAAAAAATGAATTTGAAATAAATAAATAAATTTGCATGGGCCTTATGGGTTGCCATGCTGGTGACGAAATAACAACAAAATATAAACATAATTCCCCTGCCACAGCAAACCTGCCGTCTAAGCGAATTTCCATTTGCCTGAATTGATTTTCAATTAATCTATTTATAACATTAGGTTTAACGAGTACCTAGGTTTGCTGCTACAAGGAAAATAAAAAAGTGTGTTTTAAGTAAAATAATTATAGCTTGGTATAAAATCAATAAATTTGCCAAGTTTGATCAAAATATATCCATAAACTAGCAAATTACAACAATTTACAATATTCTCCATTAGAATAACATGGGAATTTAAAATTTTTTGAGATTTCTCCGTAACGAATAACCGTACAAAAACACTTTGATATACTTAATTATTTGTTCTTTTAAGCTCTTTAAGAAGGTCTATAGAGAAATTGGGAAATCTTTTGTTTTGAGGGTCAAAAATGAGAAAAACCAATTTTCACCCCATAAAACAAAACAAAACCCCCGTTAAACCACGTTCCCATCCGATCATGCTAGTTTGCGAACTCATTCAAGTTTATCCCGCCTTACATTTTCAAACCAAATTTCATCAAAATTGGATTGTATGTATATATATATATATCTAATATATAAAATTCTCGTGTCACAGTGTTTGTCTGCAAACTCCTCCGGAACGACTTCACCGATCGTTATGAAATTTGGTGTGTAAATTTTGTAGGTATGCGAATCGGACGTAAACTATTTCCCGTTTTGAAATTCTTAAAAGGGCTCTGCCCCAGTGGCTCTGGAGTTTCCCATGTTAACCTTATGAGAAATGGAATTAATGAATCTTAACAGCTGTTTCAATTAAACAAGTTGGTTCTGTTCTATGATGTTCAATAGCATTAAAGTTACAAGGATTACCAACAGGGTGCAGCACTATTATTTCTTTTACATTTATGACAACAGCTAATTTGCAACCAAAAGATGAGTGAGCGTAGCGAACGAACTTCAACCTGGAGGCGAGTTAGCGTAGCGAACGAGCTAACCTGAAGGCAAGTGAGCGCAGCGAACGAGCTCCAACCTAAAGGTGAGTGAGCGTAGCGAACGAGCTCCAACCCAAAGGTGAGTGAGCGTAGCGAACGAACTTCAACCAGGACGTGATTGAGCGATGCGAACGAGACCATCTTGAAAATTAAACGTAACGGTACTTTCTTTCCATCGGTCTGTCTTAGGGGAAACCTATAACTTAGGCGATACGAAGTTCGCCGGGTCAGCTAGTATCTTACTAATATTATAAATGTGAAAGTTTGTGTTTGTTTGTTTGAAGGTCAATCACTCATAAACCACAGGATGGATTGGGCTCAAATTTGGCATGATGATAGCTCACATTCCCGATTAACATATAGGCATATTCTTATCTCAAAAATCCCTTCGGGCTCCGCCCCAGTGGCTCTGTAGTTCCTCATGTTAACCTTATGAGTATTCATATTTAAGGGAATTAAAGAATTTAGTCAGCTGTTTCAACCAAAAAAGTTGGTTCTATGATATACAAAAGCATTAAAAAGTTATAAGATTTACCAACAGGGTGCAGCACTATATTTTTTTTTTTTTGCATTTATGTAAACAGCTAATTTGAACTAAGCAGCAACAAACAACTGTGATACGCAATGAGAACTGTCAAAGTAGGATTGTTTACAGTTATGTTTATGTTTTTAATGTCATGAATAATTTGTGATTTTTTAAATTTGTAATACTTTATTTTTCTTTATTGTTTAGGTGAAGAGGTAGAACATTATGGCTATGGTAGACGTGTAATACCATAGTATACCGTCAATTTAAAGAAGCAAATTTTTTTAAACTTTGTCCTCCCCCATTGCAAACGCAAAGCTTGAGTATAACTGCAATAAGCAATTTAAACTTATATGCCAACCCCGTACGAAGGACGGGTACTCTGCTAGTATATTACTAAGTAAATCAAAATATCACAGTACCCTAAAAACATTTCATTTTATATTACTTACATGTTTCGGACATTAATGCCATGATCACAGTATAGTACATAACCTATTAATTTATTTTATTTACAAACATTATTAGATATTTCTTGTTAAAGAACAGGTGATAATTTTTATGTTAAGGGAAGGAGGTGTTTTTCTTTAAGATTTATAATTTCATTGAATATTACGTTTTGATTTTGAATTTGTGTCAAGTTTAGTAAATTGTCTTTGTCATTAATATGATGTGTATAAATATAAAAGTCTTCTTTTGCATTCATTTTTTCGCCTTTATTTTCAACATCTAGAATGTGCATATTCATTTCTGAGCATGTATGTCGGTCTGATGTATATGTTCGGCGTATGAGGATTTTTGTGTTTTTGTGTTGTCATGTTATTTGATCTTATTGCCTGTACATGCTCTTTGTACCAGACTTTGAATGTTCGATCTGTTTGACCAATATAGTACTTTTCACAGTTGTTACATGATAATTTGTAAATTCCCGATTTCTTATATACATTTGGGGGGTTGGGTCTCGTATTTGTTCTTCTTTGAATTATGTTAAAAGCGTTATTCCTTGTTTTAAAACTTAGATTAAATTTTGAGTTCGGTAATGTTTTTCTTAAGGTTTTGTTTAAGGATGAGCTGAATGGAATACATATAAATTATTTATTTTCATTTTCTTGTTCTTCTACTTCTATTCTTTTCTGTTTTTCACTTTTTATTTATTTTTCAATCTATATACTTATATAAAAATTTGAACGAATGGTGTTTTTGGTCTCTGGGGACATCAAATGAAAAAGTAAATCAGTCCCGGGCCTAGGTCTTACCATGAGACCTACGGTAATAGCTACTTCCCTATATGGAAATTCGCTAAAATCAGAGAAAATGGAAGAAATTACAATTACATGTTTTATTTATGGTGTGGGGGGGGGGGAATAGAGAAGCCTGTACATATTTTTGGTTGAGTTTTCGACCACTGGACGACCACTACTTTAATTAAATATTTATTCCATTTGTGTACTTATATTATTATAGGTTCATCTAATTTGAAATCAAAAAAAGCTTTCATATTGAAAATGAAAAAAAAAACAAATATACCCCCGACGCAGCGAACCTACACTTAATTTCCATTTGCCTTATTGGATTTACACTAAAATGTCTCCTTCAAAATATCACATTTATTCCCTATTTAAATAGCAGTGATTTAACGAGTACTTAGGTTAGCTGCAACAGGGAGTGTAAAAAGGTGTTTTTTTGTAAAATGTTAATAGTTTAGGATGAAATGAAAGCATTTTCCAAATTTGATCAAAATATGCTTATAAATAAGCAAACTACAACTGTTTAAAATTTTTTCCATAAGAATAACATAGGAATCTTAAATTTACAATTTTTTTTTTAATTTTCTCCATAGTAATTAGGCACATAATAACGCTTCAAACAACTAAATTATTTGTTTTTTTAAGCTCTACAAAATGGTTTGGATAGAGGTTGCTATATTTTATGTTTTTAGGGTCAAAAAGTTTTACCCCATAAACCCCTGTTCCCATAGTCCGATCATGCTGGTTTGCGAACTCATTCTAATAAACGTAGGTTTATACATTTGTAACGTGCTGTGTGTTGTTTATATGTTTGTTGTAAGAAACTTGGTTAGATCTTTTCTTATCACCGGTTGAAAATAAGTATGACACATTTTATAAAACTTTCATTGGTCATTTTAATAAATGCTTCCCTAAAACTCTTTCAAGACAGTGCACTAAAAATAAATGGATTTCAAAGAAACTTGAGACAGAAAGACAGGAAATTATTTATTTAAGTCGAACAGGGAGAGATAATAAATCCAAAGTTTTGTTGGATAAAGCTAAAAAAACAAACATTACAAAAAAAAACTAAAATCTTAAAAAAAAATATTACAAAAAGAAAATTAGTAATTCTAGTAATGTTAATAAAACATCTTGGATGATTATTAATTCTGAAGTGGAAACTAGCTCTGTAAATTCTGAAAATATAAATTTAAAAATAAATTATGGTGTTTGCTCTGATCCTTTATTGATTTGTAACCAGTTCATTGATTATTTTCCAAATATTGTGGATGATAAGTGTCTTGTCGAATCTAGAGCAAGCCAGAGACGATCATAGCAATAGTAATATTGGGAGAGAGATACTTTCCAAAATTTTAGAATTAAATAATCAGTAACAAAATGTTTTCTAAATCCTGTCTAATTCTATAAATCATCTTTATAATCTAAATTATTTTTATTTATATACAAACAAACAATATAAACAAAAGTTAAATATTTAATATTATTTGAAGTTTGAAAATGGACTTATGTCCGAAACATGTCACTTCTATTAAAAATATAATTGATTACATAGTTTGCATAAGGTCCGATCTCAAAGAGCTCCGTTCGCTCCGCTCAATAATTAGTCCCATGTTAAATCTCCATAGGGGAAGTTGAATTTCCATTTTTGACCCAATTAACATAAATATTCTCAAAATACAAATAAATCCTGCACATATAGGACCGATAACTTTTCTTTTGGTACAACCCGCGAGTAATTCGGTCCGGTAGTATGGTCAGGCTAGCTGTCATAAGCTTTGCAATTTTTTTTTATACATCAGATTTCCTGCCTAAATGCAAAATGACCAGGTCTGGGTAAAAAACTGTCCGTAACTTAGGTTTATGAAGCAATCATGTTAGCACTTTGCTAACCAACCACAAGAAAAGTCAATGTTAAGAGTATCTAATGTTTAATTTTTTTTTTTTTTGCTAAAAAATATTATGACTACTGTAATGCAAACTTTACAAACAGCTCATGCACATTCACAATTGAACTAAGCATGCCTGCTTAGATAACCCTTGACACTTACCTAAGTGAAACGGTAGTTCTGCAAACATAGCATATTAGTTTATTAGTTACAGTAGTGCAAAATAACTTGAAAAATGTGAGAGAAAATGTAGATAATTGTTTTAAGAAGCTTATAGCACAGGTGAAGTTATTGACAGAGATATTCAGTGGTATTTCAAGATATCAGAAAGTCAACGGTAAACACACCACAAAATAATGCTTCGTAAAATTATTACTCAAATACATTGATTATTCTAATATAAACAAGGCAAAAGAAGGCAGCTATCAACAGAGAAACATTTCTTATGTTAGATAAGTTATATTTGAGGTAAGATGAAATATTTTTTCACACAGAAATAAATAGTAGCAGTAGTTTTAATTTTCTAAACTCGTGTCATTTAGCTTTTAAATGTGGGAATGTTTTTCTCTGAAGCCCCTGTGACACGGAGCTGGTTTTACACCGCTAGTAACAAGCAGCTAGAACCATTAGAAACCCAGCATCGAGTAAATGATTCTCCAGGGGATAGAAACACTCGCACAAGCTAGTACCACTATCCGCTGGAGTGTTCAAACAGTTTAATATTCCAAGCACTTGAATGAGCAGGTCACGTGACCACGCAGCTTTGGTCTCTAGCGTCATTCCAGCTTCGTCTGACAGGGGCCAACAGTATGATGCTAGTTCTCGCAATAAGAAATAGTTTTAATTGAATTAATAATAATTTGTATTAATCAAGAACAAATTTTAAACTTTATATTTTGACAATTTATTTGTATTTATTGTTATTATTTTATTCTTGTCACAATTGTTACATCTCACATATGAAATAAATTAATGTGTTTTTGTGTTGGTAAAAGATAAAGAACTTTTGTGATAGGCCTACCAGCACTTATTTGTTTTTTATTTGTTAACTTACAAGCCCATAGTAGGTACATAATAATAGTGTTTATATTTTAACACTAGCTGTTTGCCCGTTCTACGTAGTTGAACCTTATATTCAGAACAGGAGTTGGTTTGCATATTTAGTGTGCATTTTTCCAGATATGCTGGCAAAACTATTAATGTATAGGAATACATATAAACCTTCCCAAATACAATATCTGACAGTTTCAAAGCCAAATCGAATGCTTCGCAATTAAATGTCACCCAATCGTGTTAGTCCATATTTTATATCTAATGATAAAAGGAATTGCTTTATAGATCTATGAAGCATAGCCCTAAGGTAGGTCTGTAATTGAAAGTTACTTTTTGCACTTGTTAAAAGTAGTTAAAATACTACCTCAACCTTACTACTGCACACTGTATTCGGGTTGAAATTTTCATTAACAAAGGTGCTCTTGTCTTTTCCACCAAACACTGAGAAATAAGGACATTAATGCGTTACCAACAGACATACTCACACAAATACAGAATTGAATTAGGGGATTAGCTACGCTTCAACCAAAGCAAATTACAAACAAAATAATTATTTGAAAGTTTTGATAGTGTCATCAAATTTTATGATAATAGTTTTTAGGCCTAATCAAACTGTAAAATTGGTGTAAATCCGTTGGTAAATATATAAATAACTAAATAAATACACAGTCCACAAAACATTTACACGTTAACAACGCCAAGCTTTAAAAATTAATGATGGTTTGCTAAAAAATCTTTCACTAATGTTTCATCATTTTCAGAGCATAAACTAACATTTTGGAGTCCAAACAGAAAACGCAAAAATTATACAGTAAGACATCAATTAAATTTAATAAGAAATAAGGTGCAGCATAGCGATAGCTATAGTTGTAAATGGTGATGTGTTTGTACGTAAAAATGATTCTTACTGCTACCACCGGTTCTAAGGAAAAGTAGCAGTACCAAAAACCAACGTTTACTTTTAAGAAAAGAACTATAATACTTACGACCAATTCAAACTGTCCTTCTAATCAAACTGTATTATAGGTGTTAATCCGTTGGCAAATATATTAGTAAATAAATACACAGGCCACAAAACATGTAACATGTAACGTTAACAAGGTTTGCTAAAAAAAAAAAAACACTTTCACTTGATGTGGTGCAGAACCGAAGTTATTAATCTTCCTTGGTTTTACATTTTTTTTAAGTTTTTGAAAATCTAAGTTATTTCTCATTAACCCTCCGAGTGTCACGCGTCATAAAAACGACGCACAACACACTTTGTGTAGGGTCACGCGTCGCTTTTAAGACGCACAAACATCGTTTACGGCGAAGGCTCTATGACTGACTGAATCGGATTGAACTGGATCGAGTTAGGTATCGTTCTTTCCGTAATATTCTAAGCTTTCTAAAGAGGTCTGTCTCTAAGCGCTAGTCATTTTAGTTCCGAAAATATTGTAGCAGACAGCTGACGTGCGTGTATTTGTAAACAGCTAGGTTCCCCCGGACCGATGACTGATGTGTTTTATTACGTTTATCATTGTTTTAGTGTTAAAAATCAAAAGTAGTGATATACGTGGTGCATTATAAGAAGATTTAAGTGGTTTTGAAGTGCTGGTTGATGATCCTGAAGAAGTAGGTAGTGATATTGATGTAAATTATCAGCCAGATTCCTAGCTATGGTTAGGCTATGCATTCTTAGCTAAACGCTATGTACTGAAATCCGTTTTTCGCTCATAACTTATTTATTTGATAACTTACCTCGCTATATGATTATATATTTGTAATCCTCATTAAATTTAGAACAAAGTGGCTATTTTCAAATATTTATAGGCCTATAATTTATACAATTTCATTGAGCGCGAACTTATTTTTTTTTTGAAAATTTTCGAAATTATATTTTTTTTTTACCTAAAAATTTTTTTTTGAAAAAATGTTCCTTATGTTTTATATATAATATTGAAGCCCATGATTTTCCAAACAAAATGGTATATAGAACATTAGAATTAACATTGTTTTAAGCTTCTCAGATCCGTTTTAATAAAACCTTGCAAAGGGGCCAAAAATAGGTGGACATTAAGGCCTAAACTATGGACACTCGGAGGGTTAATAGCATTATTTGTAAACAACTTTTAATGTTAACATATTAATGACACTTTGAAGAAACCACCTTTGTCGAAACAAAGGTTTCTTATTTAAGAGATTACGTAATCTCTAAACGATAATCGGTACATATATCTAGCAAACATTCGGAGGAAATGTGACAAAAAACACACAAATCTGGGGTTTTGGACGTTTGTAGTTTTACTTCCTAAGTAGGAAAAGTACTGATATCGTTGTCAAAATGTATGTAGATAAACCAAAAGTGACACATTGGAAAAGCGAGTTTAGCTACATCTGTAAGTTAAACCTCTGTTACGATCACACCAAAATTAGAAGATCTTCCAAGATCGCAGCAACATCCACGATCACCCACTGCAGTTGGGATTTACTTTTAACGTTTTTGTTGGTTTTACTTTTCCAGGGACCGGAAGCCTTTTCGGTTGTCTCCGTGTTTCCGATTGGTCGGCCATGTTGCATCAGTCGCATTGGTGGAGTCATTGCGAACGGTGCTATTAGTGTTCCATTGTGTGAGCTTTTTTACGTTACACCTTTTATAGATTATAGTGTTTTGTGATTGGTTATTATTTGCATGTTGTATCATGACTTGACTGCTATACAGTGAATATTTTTTTTTACTGTTACCTTCTGTTGTGTATTCCAACTTAGGTTGGGCATTTGTGTATTGTTAGTTGTAATGTGTTAGACTTATAAGTTGTAACGTTAGTTTCCCAGCTCCGTCTGACATGACTTCTAGCACACTGGAGAACCAGCAACCAGAGCTGCTGGAACAAGCCCCGTGTGACAGGGTCTTAAGGGTCCTTTCGGGGTATATTTTTAAATTTGGTTAGATCATTTGACTAGACCTAGTATGTAGGCTATGATAAATCGGCTTTTAAGTATTTGGCTAAACTAAACATGTTCGTAAAATTTTATGTTATCTTTAGTATCTGCATTTGATTGTTCAAAACTAGTAGTTAACATAATTTTAAAACGTGACAAGGTTTTTTTTTATTTCACGATTCTGAATCAACTACTTGACGGATTTTCATGATTTTTGTGTCAAAAGAAAGATAATTTTAAGAACTAGGGAATGTCGAAGCCATAACTTTAGTTTAGGGTTTTAGTTTTTTAGAAATTAAGATTTAAATTTAAAAAAGTCTAGCAGCCGACGCTAACATTCTACTCTAGCTTTTGGTATAATACCACTTGCTTAACGTAACAGCTGTAAACATTCAGCGTTTGCGACACAAATTCAGCATTTGGATGAAAATGAAATGACATACGTAGAATTGACTTATTTATACTAAGGGGTAATGCTACAATCATTGATACGTTCATTTATTAGGTAAGAGGATGAAAGATTATTTAAATATATAGTAAAATACTTGATTTTCTAATTAATTTTTTTGAGCAGTCTTTAAAATATTTAGTTTGTTTTAGTGCAATATAATTTGTTATAAATAACAGCCGGTTGAATAAAAAAGTATTCTATAGAACTATGAGGTTAGTTTATTTACTCTGTGATTTTGTCATTGATTATAGGAAATAAGTAAGATTATATAACCATTGCTGTTTACGAATCGAAGCTCACGAATCTTCAAAAGAAATAGGCCTATTATGAAAATTAATTTACCACTCGACTTTTTGAGGAAAGGGTGGGAAAATAACAATGATCACAATTATGTTTTAATTCATCTTGGCAGCTTTTTCTTAACTACAAATGTTGAACTGCTTAAACTATGCTTGAATTAGTAAATGGTAATAGCCACACTATATACTGTTTTAATGGACTACTCGATTCCCGTACGTAGGACGGGCCAACAGCTTGTTACTAATTGATTTTTTACAAGTAACTAATCTTAATGGTAATTTTTTTCTTCATTTCTAAGATATAATTGAAAATTTGACAATCCTAAATTCTCCATATCCAAATCGGCCCAATCCCTTATTATTAAACCTTTAAGTGCTAGTGTCGCTGACCGTAACGATGTGTTTTTACCTTAAAGTGCGAGCGTCCCTAACAGCGACTATTCGTATAGGGTAGTAGGCCTACTTATCGATGCCGTGGACTTATTGGCTGGTTAATTTGTCAGTATGTTCCAAAGGCTTCAAATTATCGATCCCAGGCATTTCCCTTCGTTACTGTCGCTAGCGGTCAAATGTTTACTTTTTAAGTTAGTCCTGTTTCTTTGTGTCCAGTGACTGACGAAAAATTACGTTTTACGTTTGCGCTGTTGTTTGTTTTAAAACAAAGTTATTTCTAAAGTAATGTTTTCTTAATGTGTAGTGTTTTCATATGTATAAGTTATAGTTATTGTAAGTGATTCATTTTCATAACACCAAAACAACTCCATATGTAAAGTGCATTGTTGGTAAATGTTTACTATAGCCTTGAGTATAAACAATGATTATAAAAGGTATAATGTTACCTGGATCTGCCAGAGTAATCCAAATTGCTGTCTAACGACTACACGTTTCGAAGCAGTATAGGCCTAAGCTTCATCTTTAGGTCGTCAAGAACACATTTCACTCATCAGAGGTCGTCAAATAAATATAATTTTTACACATATATGGACACGGAGAATAGTTACTGTAGGCCTACGAACCGCGTGCGCGCACTTAGACAGGTTTGTCATGACTGCGGCGGTGAGCGTTGGTCTCGTGAACTTTGTCCCTTGCCGGTCAGCTGTTCCTGGTTAGCTATTACAGTATCATACAATTCATTTGACTGGAAATTTAGTTTGTCGTTTAATAGATCATAACTATGGCTTTTTGTTGCTTTGTATATCTCGTACTCTTCTATGGCGTTCATGAAGCTTCCTTTTGTGCAAAAATGCGAGCACAAAATCCATTTTTGCACAAAAGGGAGCTTTCCCAGATTTTGGCTGAATACTTACGGGACACCCAGTATTCAATATTCTGTTATAGCCTACAGCTATAAAAAATTAACTCACATTATAATAATTCAGTAACTGTCCTGTCCACCTAGAAATCCTGCTCTCTGGTTAGGTTCGTAAATAAATGCCTGGCATGAATAAATAAATGCACAAATAATATTAAGACCCTTTAGGCACATGATTGCCTACTAAATATAGAACATTGGTAATTAAAATTCAGAGCGCAATAATCAGTTAGATAAACTTACCTTTTTGTTTTAAGTTTGTTTCGGCGATTATGAAATTGTCATAAAAGATATAATATATGTGGCTAAAGTTAGTGTCAAAAAACGTTTTAGCCTCTTCAGTATCCACATTTTCTGAAAATAAAAATTACTTGTTAAGCTCAGGTTCTTGTTAGTTGTGTTGAGATGAAGTAGATTAATAATGTAAAATATTAAGTTAGCCTAATTAAATTAAAATATATCTTAGACAAACAAGAGGATGTAACACAAACACAGAGAGGACAAACACAGTGTCCTCAATCGTCTTTTACTCCCAAAGCATGCCCAGTTATTAATTTGAAACTCTCCTCAGCCTCTTACGTAAAATAACTTAGATGATAATTTTCTTGTTAGCAGACTAAGTTAAGGTGAATTAATTTCAATTTTTAAGCTTACCTATCTGATTGGATTTTAACTCAAACATTTTCTTATATCAGGCCCTATATTCAAAAGGCACCCTAAAAGTAATATCCTAATAACATTTAGGTAGACTTTCATATTCGTTGTTAAAAACAACCGAATAAAAATATCGAGGGTAGACTTTCACATCTGTTGGCACCAACAACCGAATAAAAATATTGATCGATATATCGATTACTCGATATATCGTTTGGTTAGCTAGGTAAGGTTAACCTAACCTAACTAACCAAACGATATATCGAATGAAACAATCAAATAATCGATATTTTCATTTGGTTGTTTAGGCTGCACTTTACTTGACGTCCTACACTCATTCGAATGAAAATATCGATCGATATATCGATAAATCGATTGCTTCATTCGATATATCGTTTGGTTAGTTAGGTAAGGTTAACCTAACCTAACTAACCAAACGATAGGTATATCGAATGAAACAATGGAATGAAAATATCGAATCGAAAAAAACAATCGAATGAGTGTAGGACGTCAAGTAAAGTGCAGCCGTTGTTTGTGCCAATAGATACGGAAGTCTACCCAATATCGATCGATAAATCGATTATTCACTATATCTTTTGGTTAGTTAGGTTGGTGCGTAAAACCCAGTAAGTTACATCTTACATCCAGTCGGAATGTGAAGAGTTGCGTAACACAGACATACACCACCCCTTGGGCAGCAAGTTTCTAGAGTTTAGTTATGTGTCAAGTCTATCTTTTGTTTTATTTTCTGTAATAACTTCCGTACCTTTTAACGGTAGGGTATAACGTAATTATTTTTGTTTGGTATGAAAGTTATAGGTTATGCCTTGCGATTTTATGCACAGGCCTACCATTATAGGCCTAAGCTAGGTAAACTGAGTATGAATAGGCCTAATTGAAGGTTTAGGATAGGTGCATTTGAATCATTGAGAAACTTGTAGACTAAGTAGGAATAACTTATAAGTTAAATTGATCTATTGAGCTTTCTAGAATCTTTAAGAAGTACAATAGTCAATCCTTATAGAGTTAAATAGGCATATATTCCCTATGACTATGAATGTAAATAGAACACTGAAAATTACCATTGATTTACCTATGCCCCATGCAAACCTACCATAAATGTTTATTCAATATACCATTTAAGTTCAAATGCGCCAAATAGTCTAAGAATGATACATTAATTACCAACCTAAAATGATCCTTAAATGCTTAAAACGAGTTGGTGATTCCTTTTTAACGTCTTGAATTTTTTGTGTTGACTTTTTAACGTCAGCATGAAGTTTCTTGCTACTAAACATGTTTCTTGTTTATGCTTAAAATCAGAAAGTACAACAGAATATTGTTGGAAAAGTTAACTTAACTTCTAGAAAAGACATTATTACTCTAAAGTTAAAGATGTACAAAACTGACATAAACATGTTAATGTTTACATTATAAAACTAACCAAACCTATACGTTGACAACGACAACCTTGTTTATTCACCATTTTCCTTTTCTGCTCAGTTCATCATCTAATCAATTGAAAAAAAAAACTTTCTTAGGCTGAAAGTTTTTCTATGCGAACAAGTTAATCAAACTAAGTTTCTTGTCATAGCTCCGATACATTTTAATTCCGAAATGCGCTTACACGAATTTTAATTGCTCTGTTTGTTATAAAATAGTTTGGATTGGATTTTGTTCTATTTATAAATATGAACTGTTTTATAGTTGCAATTATTTATTGGTAGGTGTATGGGTACGATGTCATAGCTTATAACGGCATAGCTTATAATTGCGAATTTGATCAATAGCTTATAATCGTTAAAATGTGGCATAGCTATATAATAGGGAATTTAAATTATTGTTCCATAGCTTTGTGAGGTGTTAAGTTCGGGTAGGGTCACCTAGCCTAAACTTACCTCCGTTCACTCGGACAGCTCGAGGACTCCACCATGCACTCTTGTCGTAAATCGGTTGGATGTAGGTAGTCTATATTCTGTAGCATTAAACATATTGTACCATAGACTAACCAACACAAGTAGACTTCTCATCCCATTGTAAATTTTGAAGCACGTTTTTCGTTTCTAGTTCATGTACGTGACAAAAAGGCACTAGTGTCGACGAAACTTTGTTACTATTATTTTAGGGTTATTTTCTTGATTTGTGCTTTACTGTTTGGTTATATAACTAGGGGACAAGTTATTGTTTATGATTAGATCGTATTATTTGGTTAAACGAGGTTTTAAATGGCTGTAATAACGGGAAACAATTTGTAAACAAAACACGACCTCTACATAAACCGTACAGAACTAACAATAAAATTGTCTTCAGCTGTTCCATAAGGATGAGAAATCTACTAAGGGAGTATGTTTTATCTATGACTAGCTGGCCCGACAGACGTCGTCCTGTCCTAACGTGGTTTTATGTCAAATGCTTGTTCATTTTCAAGATCTTGGTTGAAGTTCGTTCGCTATGCTCACTCACCTTTAGGTTAAAGCTCGTTTAGTTTTTAATAAACTTAGTATGATAATTGCTATTGTGAAAGCGTTAAAATTAAGTTAATAATAATACGTACTCTGAATGGTGTCACTCTATCATGTGATCATAGAAATCTCTAATGATTGGCTAGAAAACGAGTTGATTTGGCGACCGTTTAAGAAACGAATTACGGAAAAACAGATTAACAGAATCATATTATACTGTAGTATCAAAAAATTTTCAAGTATTGCAACCATTGAAACTGACGGCCGTTCTTTCATTTGAAAACTAATGCTAGCAACAGTCACAAGTAGCTCAGAGGTAAGGTAAGAGGCTCATAAGTCGAAGGACTCAGGTTCGAGACCCAGCCAGGCTAAAAAAATTGTATAACAAAAAGTTCGTGAGTGCCAACATTTATATGGCGTTAAAAAAGTCTCTCAGGAATCCGCCCCACTGGGTCTCAAAGTTTCAATGTAATCCTTATGGAAGCAGTTTTTGACAAATAAACAAAGACATATGATCAGCTGTTGGCTTTTAAATGCAGTAGATAAAGAAATAGCTGATAGCATTATTCCACAGATATTAGAACAGAAACGGTATGGATCATAAACATAATCAAATGACGAAACTAGCTTGAGGTCCGTGACGTAGAAAGTGGTGAAGGAAGTAGTAAAGGTGAGCAGTCTGGAGTGTGGAAACTGTTTATGACGATTAGATTAAGGTATCTGCAATCCTAAAATGCTATGGGAAGGGAGGAAAACAGGTCCGGGACGTAGGAAGTGGTGAAGGAAGTAGTCAAGGCGATCTATCCGTAGTGTGGAAATTGTTTATGACGATTAGATTAAGGAATCTGCAATTCTAAAATGCTATGGAAAGGGAGGGAAACAGGTCCGTGACGTAGGAAGTGGTGAAGGAAGTAATAAAGGCGAGCAGTCCGGAGTGTGGGAACTGTTTATGACGATTAGATTAAGGTATCTACAATTCTAAAATGCTATGGAAAGGGAGGGAAACAGGTCCGTGACGTAGGAAGTGGTAAAGGGAGTAGTAAAGGCGAGTTGTCCGGAGTGTGGAAACTGTTTATGACGATTAGATTAAGGTATCTGCAATCCTAAAATGCTATTGGAAGGGAAGGAAACAGGTCCACGACGTAGGAAGTGCCGAAGTGGTGAAGTAAGTAGTAAAGGTGAGCTGTTCGGGGTGTGGGATCTGTTTATGACCATTATATTAAGGTATTTGCAATCCTATGATGCTATGGGAAGGGAGGGAACCCGGTCCGTGACGTAGGAAGTGGTGAAGGAAGTAGTAAAGGCAAGCATTCCGGACTGTGGGAACTGTTTGTGACGATTAGATTAAGGTATCTGCAATCGTATGATGCTATGGGAAGGGAGGAAAACACGTCCGCTACACCGTAGGAAGTAGTGAAGGAAGTAGTCAAGGCGATTTGTCCGTAGTGTGGAAATTGTTTATGACGATTAGATTAAGGTATCTGGAATTCTAAAATGCTATGGAAAGGGAGGGAAACAGGTCCGTGACGTAGGAAGTGGTGAAGGAAGTAATAAAGGCGAGCAGTCCGGAGTGTGGGGACTGTTTATGACGATTAGATTAAGATATCTACAATTCTAAAATGCTATGGAAAGGGAGGGAAACAGGTCCGTGACGTAGGAAGTGGTAAAGGAAGTAGTAAAGGCGAGTTGTTCGGAGTGTGGGATCTGTTTATGACCAATAGATGAAGGAATTTGCAATCCAATAATGCTAAGGGAAGGGATGGAAACAGGTCCATGACGTAGGAAGTGGTGAAGGAGGTAGTAAAGGTGAGCAGTCCGGAGTGTGAGAACTTTTTATGGCGATAGATTAAGGAATCTGCAATCCTGAAATGCTATAGGAAGGGAGGTAAACAGTTCCGTGACGTAGGAAGTGGTAAAGGAAGTAGTAAAGGCGAGCAGTCCGGAGGGTGGGAACTGTTTATGACGATTAGATTAAGGGATCTGCAATCATAAAATGCTATGGGAAGGGAGGGAAACAGGTCCGGGACGTAGGAAGTGGTGAAGGAAGTATAGTCAAGGCGATAGAGCTGTCCGGAGTGTGGGAACTGTGTGTGACGATTAGATTAAGATTAAATTATTATGATTAGATTAGATTAAGGTCTCTACAATCTTACAATGCTATGGGAAGAGAGGGAAACAGGTCCGCGATGTAGGAAGAGGTGAAGGAAGTAGTAAGGTGAGCAGTGTGGAGTGTGGGAACTGGAAACCGTTTGTAACAGTTAGATTAATGTATCTGCAATGCTGAAATGCTATGAGAAGGGATCATGGAAGCATGCTCACGACATAGGAAATGGTGAAAGAAGTAGTAAAGGCTAGCAGTGCAAAGTGTGGGGAATGTTTGAGGTAATTAGATTAACGTATCTAAAATACTAAAATCAAATTAATCAGCCTTGACACCTTTAATATGTTTACTATAGATAATAATATAGTTACGTATGCCAGTAGGTGTCAATTGTAGATAATTATGCTGCATGTCTCGCAGCATATTAGCAATTAGCATTTCTGTACATGTCTCGAGCCTAATACGGCTCATCTTCAGCAGCATTTTTGTATGTAAAAATTTTCACATTGAGATATGATTGTCGACTATTTACAGAAACCACGTATATACACAAACACAGAACCTTTTAGCATGCCATTTACACGTATTTTGTAGCGTACGCTCGTTTAGGTAAAACGTTTACCTTAACGTGCGATAACGTGTTTGTGTATATATGTGGTTCCTGTAAATAGTCGACAACCATCTCTCGATGTAAAAATTTCTACATACAAAAATGCTGCTGAAGATGAGCCGTATTAGGCTCGAAACATGTACAGCATAATTATCTACAATTGACACCTACTTGCATACGTAAGTAGATTATTATCTATAGTAAAAATACTAAAATGCTATGGAAAGTGATAAAAACAGGTCCACAAAATAGGTAGGTAGTGGCTTAGGAAGTAGTAAAGTATTAGCATAGTGTGGGAACCGTCTGTGGCAGTTAGATTAATGTATCTTCAATCCTAAATTGCTATGAGAAGGTAAGGAAACAGGTCTATGACGTAGGAAATGGTGAAGGAAGTCGTAAGGCTAGCAGTGCAGAGTGTGGGAACTGTCTTTAGCAAATACATTAACGTATCTGCAATCCTAAAAAGCTATGGGAAGAGAGGGAAACAGGTCCACGACGTAGGGGGTGGTGATGGAAGTAGTAAAGGTGAGCAGTGTTGAGTGTGGGAATGGATTAATGTATCTGCAATGCTAAAATGCTATGGGAAGAGACTGTAGACTGTAGGTTAAAATGAATATACTAATAATAATAAAAATAATCTCTTTATTGCTTTTTGACAATAATTGTACTATTGTATAGCAAACGTCAGTCAATACAAAAAATGCAACAAATGAGATAAAATATAATATGTAGCTGTGTAAGAATAAATAATCCATGATAAAAGGTTAGATTAAAATAAACCTACCTCATAGTTGAGCGGAGCGAGCGAAGCGAGCGAAGCTCTTATACATCGACTTTTATGCATTTCGTAATACGCAAACTCCTCCTTGACGGCTGAATCAATCGTTTTCAAATTTTGGATGGTGATAAAGACTATATCGGTGAGTGCCAACATCTATATGGCGTTAAAAATAACTCTCAGGAATCCGCCCCACTGGGTCTCAAAGTTTCAATGTAATCCTTATGGAAGCAGTATGTGACACATAAACAAAGGCATATGATCAGCTGTTGACTTTTAAATGCAGTAGATAAATAAATAGCTGATAGCATTATTCCACAGATATTAGAACATAAACGGTGGTTTAGATCATAAAATAATCAAATGACGACACTCGCGACGTAGGAAGTGTTAAAGGAAGTACTAAAGGTGAACAGTCTGGAGTGTGGAAACTGTTTATGACGATTAGATTTAGGTATCTGCATTCCTAAAATTCTATGGGAAGGGAGGAAAACGGATCCGCGACGTAGAAAGTGGTGAAGGAAGTA